GCGAAATTTTTGAATTTCTATTCAAAACCAATACTATATTCGTAATCTACGTACGAAACTGAGTTCAGTGATGTATATTTAGCAGAAAAAAAATTTTGTCAAAAATTTGTGCCTTTGGTCCCCTCAGGCACTAATGAGAGTAAATCGAATTTTTTGTGGGTTTTGAGTGTTTGCCGCCAACTTTCTTTTGTCAATTCATAGATTTTAAGTGATGATCTTTACGATGGAATAGCCAAAATCTGATTCCTTAAGTTCCCCATAAAGTGAACTTATACCTTTTTTTCTTAAATAGTCAAATATTTAAACAGTTGATTCATACCTTTTGAATTAAACTCTTCATCCGGGTCAAATAATATATGTTTGGGGGGATTGAGCTCCAAATCATGGAGAGCAATAGGAATGTATGACAATGCCATGATCTGAATAGATCGATAAATCAAATTAACTATAACAAAGATAGTTAAATATAACTTACTTTACATTGTTATTTGATTTATAAAAACGACAAAAATATTCAACGGGCCATGCTGACCACGTGGATTTTATCTACAATGGAAAGATAAGTTTCTCGTTTATATATTATAGAATCTACTTTTTTTTAAATAAAAAATAACTTAGTTATCTGCTGAAAAGTAGAAAAATCAGGGCAGAAAACAATAATTTTATTCTAGTATTAGATGAATATTTTAATCTATTCTGTTTATCTGAATATGCAACCCTCCCGAATGTTCGAGAACGAAAGAAAAGACATGTATAAAAATCGTTTACTTTACTCATGCACTGGTCGATGTTCTTGTGGGTATTCTTGCAAGATTCTTGTCGCTTGCTATTTCAGACAGGAATCTTCGATTTTGTCTTGACAGATCAGACAAGATTCTTCTTTTAATTTTTTATTGATTTTTCATTTTTTTTCGTTAAAGATTCTTGTCTGAAATGGCAAGAGTCGTTGGCGACAAAATCACCAATTTCTTTTGCCAATTCCAGTGTTAAATATAAGTTACATAAGATAGTTCAATACAACACATAAATGTTTGTAAAAATTCCTTTAGATCTCATAAGATTCTTGTCGAGAGACAATCGAGTCTTTATATGTGTCTGTATTGGCATAAGAGCATCCAGCTCCCACATACATGAAAAGAAATGAGAAAAAATGGATTATATGTGCATTCTTTTTGTTTGCAAGATTCTTTTAAGAATTACAAGACAAGATTCTTACAGGAAAAAATGGATCAAGAATCCTGCAGAAAATCGCATTCTTGTCAATTCAGACAAGAATCCGTCTCGCGATTCTTGTATGAACTCACAAGAAAACGATTTCCTGCAAGATTCTTGTGATAAAAATACATGTAAAATATTTTACAAGTTTCTTGTCTGAAATGCCAAGAAACAAGAATCTTGCAAGAATACTCACAAGAACGTCGACTAGTGTGGTGAAGTACCGCAACATTTTTTCTATTACAAGTATTAAAAAAAGGTTATCCCAAAGAAAAACATTTTTATCTTTTTTTTTTTGTAGCCACATAAAAAGAAAACAAAAGTGCCCATCATCTTTGTAGCTTAAATTGTGTGAGGCGATAAAAAAACCTGAAAACGTTCTTTGGAACAGTTCTATAGATCTATAGAGCCAATCGATCCGAAACTTTTCCCGCGGAAACTCGATAACTAGGTCTGTTGAAGGAAAAAATTTCATTGCTCAACCCTTGACAAAAGCTGAAAAGGAAAAATCGGTGGCGAGGGATGGCAGAGTTCCTACAATTCTAGAATTCTACTTCTATACAGCAGAACTGAATATGGACCCAGCAGAATTGAACAACGATGTCTATGTGCTTCTAAACATTCAATTCTATTACGATCTAAGTAAAATTGTATTTCAATTCTGCTGTGAAAATATTCAATTCTGCTTAACTTAATTAGTCTACTTACTTTTCCAATGATGAGACAGAATTGAATGTTTACAAGTACATAGACCGATCAAGTTAAGCAGAATTGAATCCTTGTCAGCAGAATTGAGATAGAATTGAACTTAGCTCCAGTAGAATTGAAGAATGATGTGTTAGAATTGGAGGTTTTGACCTCGCATGGTTTATAAAAACATTCGGTTGCGATCCGAAATGTTTTATTTCCTACTCACTCTCATGCTGCGCCACTCAATTCAGTTCTGCTTAACTTGATCGGTGTACGTACTTCTAAACATTCAATTCTGTCTCATCATTGGAAAAATAAGTAGACTAATCAAGTTAAGCAGAATTGGAATAGAATTTGGATCGTAATAGAATTGAATGTTTAGAAGCACGTAGACATCATTGTTCAATTCTGCTGGGTCCCTAACTCTGCCATCCCTAACGACCTCCTGAAGTGCATGCTACCTTATAAATTTCTAGATAAGCTTTGTCTGTACTACACGTTTCTTCATAAAAGAAAAAATTAAAAAAGAGTTTAACTTTTCGAAAAAAAGAACATGCCCATATCCTTCTTTTTCTATCCTATTGAGCGTATCTCCTAATGGAAAAAGTATTCAGCGAGCAAATGAAGAACTACTCATAGTTAAAAATAGAGCAAGAAACTCATATGTATATTCAACATAAACTTATCCATATTGTTCATATTCTTTGATATTTCTTTCTCCATTTCTTCGTTATACAAATTAGGATTGATTTGTTTCCTCGCATCTTGCACCTCTCTTTCATTGTGCCATGCAGTAAACAGACAGCCAAACTGAAGGCCATTGATCACGTTAAATAATGTTTTTTTTCATTCTATAGTATTATAATTCTATCAAGAAACTTGATCCGTATTTAATATAAAAACAAGTGCAACTGTTGTTATCGACAAATAGCAGTTTTTTCACGTTAAAAAAAGAGAGGTTCTCTCTTTTCATTAAAAAAGATCGCCTGAAGGGTGTTTGTTTTCTCTTCAGCTGTAGAAGAAGTTGGAAATTTTCATGTGAAAACAGGAAAGAAAAACATCTGTCTTCGTCTACTCAATTTTTTATAACCTTTGATAAGGAAGACTTATATTTACGTTCTTTTATTTAAAAATTTGATACCTGTGAGAACAACAATAAAGAAAGAAACTTCATCAATGAGCACAAATAGTTAGCAAAAGAGCAAACAATCTTTTCATTTGCACCATCATTTTGTTTGGGGAAAAAAACGCTGTTAACTTCTTAAGAAATGAGAATCGAAATTAAAAACCTACTTTTAAGTATCAATTCAAAAAACTCACTACATATTCAATCTTGTCATAATTTAAAAGACGATTATGAAACATTTACATTGGTATGGCTTGATATCAATAATTCAACAGATGAACATTTCCAGTTACAACAGAAATTAGGTTTAAATTTTAATTATTTTAGAATATTTATTTTAGTTGAAGAATGTGAACAATATTTACGACAACAAGATGAAAATCAACAAATTAGTTTAATTGTTTCTGGTAGTCATGGTAGACGACTTGTACCACTCGTACACAATTTAAAGCAGATAACAGCCATCTATATCTATTGTATGAACAAATCGGATAATGAAAAATGGTCACGTCCATTTGAAAAAGTGTTAGCAGTAATAACAGATTCTGATGAACTTATTAAAAGAGTATGTCAAGATCAAGAAGAGCGTGAAAAAATCGAAGAACTTACAATGACGTCAATGAAAATAACTAATAAATTATCCTCTGAAAGTACTGATTTTATATGCTCCCAATTATGGCTTGAGATTTTATTGCGTATGAAACAAACAGAGTATGATAAACAAGTATTTATCGAATTTTGCAAAGAAATATATGCTGAAAATTCTATACAAACGGAAATAATTAGAAAATTTGAACAAACATATTCATCTGAGCAAGCACTGTCTTGGTATACAAAAGATACATTTCTATATAAAATGTTAAATAAAGCATTACGAACAAATAATATTCAAACATTATTTTTATTTCGATTTTTCATTACCGATTTATGTCAACAATTAAAACAAATACATCAACAACAAAAACCAGTAGTAAAAGTTTATTGTGGAAAATTATTGACTATTGAGAGAATAAACACAATGTATGCATCTATTGGTCATTATTTATTAATAAATACATTTTTATCGACAACAACAGACCGAAATGTAGCTGTTGCTGCGTTGTCATTAACGACAACTAATGATAATCAATTACAATCAGTTATATTTGAAATTTTACTTGACTTTTCTCATACACCAACGACTAAACCGTATGCTAATATAAGAAATTTGTTGAATTTTGAAACTGAAAATGAGATTTTAATTTCTATAGGTAGTATATTCAAAATTGAAAATGTAAAATATTATCAGAATCAATGGATAGTTAGTCTACAATCATGTAATGAACATACGGATAATCAATTAAAACAGATACTTCATTATAGTCGTCAAGAACTCGAACTTGATACATTTGATAATTTATTATTAGATAAAATGGATAAATTTGATCGTGCTGAAAAATATTTTAAATATTTATTACAAAAATCGTCAATAACTATCGAAGATAATGATCGTAATACTATTCAAGCATGGTGTTATCAATGTTTGGGATATATTGCACAAAAAGAAGGACAATATCCGTCAGCTATAGAAAATCATTTGAAAGCACTTGAATTAATTGAAAAAACTTCAACATCAAATGATAAAGATCTCTCATTATATTATAATAATCTTGGTTTAGCTTATTATTGTAACAATGATGTTGATAAAGCAATGGAAATTTATAAAAAAAGTTGTTGTGATAAATGTTATTTGAAGAATGGAAATAAACAACATATTTGTACTTCTAGATCTTTCTTGCTTAGTCGTTACAATGTTTCTCGATCATTAACTCGTGATGTTGTTCTATTTTTGTGGTATCAATTATTGGCTAGAATAATGAATGAAAAATCGATACAAATATGTTATAATATGAAAAGAAAAAATACAACACAAAATACATTTCTATTTCGTGTATTAAATAAAGCTATTAAAACACGTAATATTGAAAAATTAATAGAATTTCGTTATTCATTATTTGATATACATAATCAAATGACAAATGTATACCAATTTCAGGGTATAGCATATCGTGGAATGAAAATTGATCAAAATGAATTAACACGTTATTCAACACATTTAAATGAATTAATATTATTTAATGGATATTTATCTACTACACGTAATCGTGATGTAGCATTAAAATTTGCTAATATAAATGATAATTATGATGATAATGTTCAATCGGTTTTATTTGAAATACATAGTAATCCAAGTGTAGAAACTAGAACTATTATTAATGTAGATGATGATGAAGTTATATTTGATATTCCAACTGTATTCAAAATTGTAGACATAGATGAGAATAGTACATCGAAATTAATAACCGTTTTTCTTCAAACAACAAATGAACATATAGGTTTACTTCATCAATATTATGCACTTGCAGAAAAACAAATGCTTGCATCAACACCACAACTCTTATTTGCACGTCTAATGTACTATCTAGGTGATTATAAAAAAGCAGATATTTATGTAAAACAAATTGGTGATATGTTAAATGAAAATACAGAAAATTTAGCCGTATTTTATTATGATATTGCATTTAATTATTATTCACATGAAGAATATTATGATGCATTAAATACGTATCATTTTCTATTTAAATATACAAATGATTATGTTCTAATTAGTCAAGCTATGAAATATGTGGCTAATATTTATGTTGAACGAAATGAATATGTAGAAGCAATGAACTTTTATAAACAATCAATAGAAATACAAAGGTGTATAAGAGAACCTGATTTCTCATTGATAGCTCATTCTCATTCCTTATTAGGAATGCTCTATCAAAAACAGAATCAATATGATCAGGCACTTTGGCATCATGAACAAGCATTGCAAATTGAGATAAAGCAAGGAGATGAATTAGTCATAGCTGAGTGTCATTTCAATATAGGCACAATATATGAAGAAATGGAACAATATAAACTTGCTTTACAAAATATTGAAAAAGCATTAGAAATTAGAACAAAATTATTGCAATCTACACATCCATCGATTGCTATGTGTTATGACAGACTGGCACACGTGTATCGTACTCAAAAACATAATGATTTAGCATTAAAGTATTTTCTAATCACATTGCGCATCCAAAAAGAGAATTTACCTGAAAATCATCCAGATATCGAAGAAACAATATTTGAAATAAATGACCTATTATGTGAACATCGTAAGTAGAATGTAATGTTCATTGATGCATACTTTTAGAAAAATATGATTCATACACACTCTTTCTTGTAATGTTAATGTCAAAACTTTTCAAAAAACTGAATTTTAAAAGATCTAGCAACCCGAATCAACATGAAGCCATTGTATATATGGGGGCTTTGTAAAGCTTAGCGCTCTCTTACCGCTGTTATCCATAAAATGTTTTGCTTATAAAAAGTGTTAACTGGGCAAGTGTTTGAAATCAGTTTTTTTCCTTGTGAATTGGTTATGCGCTTGTGAAATACGTTAATCTTTTTGTATTTTTGTTTAGTTTGTCCAGCTATGTTTTAGATAGACAGGTGTTAGTTACTGTTTTATTATTGAGTATCCCGAAGTCTGTTTGAATAGATAAGCGATATTTTGAAATAGCATTAATCGATTTACCATCGTTGGAATTTCATCATTCAAAATTTCATAGTCACCTAACTGATCGACAACAAAATAACTATAAAAAACAAAAACTCTAGCCGTTAGCTTTAGCAGTATCTAGAACAGATACTCAAAGGACAGTCAACTTCATCAGTGACATTTTCAAGTGAAGATAGTGTCTTTTTCTCACATTTAATATGAGTGTTGCCTTTCGATGTTGTCTTGTAATTTTATCGACTTTTTGGGAAAAAGGCTGGACTAGCAATCAAATTGTAGCGCGGCCCGTAAACAAGATCCAAAAGCGTAGACCCGGTCCGTGATCTCTGGTATGGATCTCAGTGAAGTGAAGTGGTGGTTTTACTCCCTTGAGTTTGCCACTACTTCAAAACAGTAAGACATAATGCAGATGGTAGATTGATCTTTTTTCTCAAAAAAGTGTAGACTGTCAACAAATCAAAGATATATTTCTGAATACTTGTCTACAATAAAACTTATCATGTACTACTGGACGTTTTGTTTATTTCTTTCGTACTTTCGAAAAGTGTGATAACCTGAAACATGAAGCACAGAATGTTTTTCTTTCGACTGTACACTGGCTATGATTTTTACCCATAATATGTATCTATGTTTCTTAATCAAAACTTGAATAATTGGGAATCTTCTTTTGTTAAATAGTGTTGACAGGTTAAAATACTTGTATTTTTATAGATCTATCTTATTTTTCAGCAGAATATGATAATCAACAAACAACAGCAGTTACTGATAATGAAGGTTTGATATTAGTTTTATAATTATTTTTTCATGTGAGTAGATAAAAAGTAAAGTCTCCTTTGATCATTGTATAATTCTACTGATAGAAAACAGAATAGGACATTGGTCATTTAAGGCCCCTCCTTGGAATTATCTCCGGCATCGTACATCCGATTTCGATGAATTTCCGTAAATGTTAATCACCATGAGTTATGCGGATGAATTTTTTTTTTGTCCCCAAGTCTTATGTTTTAGGAGTTTTCCAGATTTGAAGGTCCAAACAGTACCATGAAGTTTTTCGCAAGATTTGTAATATATTTCAAACTAGAGAATTCAGGTTTGGTTTATTTTAAACTACATGAACAGCTACATGAACTGACAGCCACCGAGTTTACAGTTGTTGGTTTTTCAGACAACCAAAAATCCGATTTTTCCAGAAATCCTTAATTTGACAAAAAACTAACACCTAATTCAGCAATCGGGCTCTATAAACCTTTAGCCACACAGATTAGGTTCAGTTTAAGACCTTCCCGAGTTCTTCACGATGTTTCGCTAGCGAGAAATCTTACAGCTACGAAGCTGACATTTGTCGAAAAGTCAAGTTTTTTAAAGCTATCACTGAGCTTTCTAAAAACCTCTATACCCCTTCGATAAAGACCAACGCTATGAATCCCGATAGTAGACAACATGGGCTATCTGGTGATGTGTTTAGTTTAATATCAACTTTTTATAAAAACATTTGTATTTCTGACGGGGGAGGAGCCTTTAAAAGGTCCTTAGTGGAGGATGAGCCCATATCTTTTCATTCACAGGACGGAGAGTTAAGCTACGTTTCATCGCTTAATTACTCTTTTATTTAGATAATTGTGAAATATGTATTGATCAACAGCCTGATTTACCATCGAGAGTAAAAATTATTGTTTTAGATGACAATAACAGTTTAACCTTACATTTAAATGGATTGAATGAAAATGAAAACGAACATTTGATTTCATTTCACAGTGATACAGAAAGTTTTTTTCAATATATTCATAATCACATTGAGAATTTTAAATTAATTACAGTTCTGCCAAAATTGTTTATTTTATCCGAAATATTAGCAAAACTTCAAACAATCGAACAAATAAGTTCAATCTATATCTACACGGATGATGATCAAGATGTAAATTATTATCGTACGTTCAGCCAACAATTTTCCAAAATACATGATGTTTGTATAGGAAATGATCTTCAATTCCGCTTAATACTCGATTTAACAACATTTTATCGGAAATTGGGTAATCATTGTGTCCTCGAACGGAATAATAGTGAAGCAGAATATTGTTATGCAAAGGCCCAAAAATATGTGAAATTGCTGTCAAAATCGATAGAAAGTAAGTAGATCCGACATAGTTTTATTCTGATTTTTCATATTCAAGAATAAAGCACAAAAAACGTTCGATGTCAATTGTTTGCTTATTTGCCTTATCGATGGTGAAGAACATTATTTTTATGATCAACGTTTTACACGTATTCAAGTTATATATCCTTTGAAAGTAAGAAAATAACGATCTCGATGCCGATTTACTCCTTATAAGAGAATTAAATAAAGCGGAATCAATTTCCATCTTACACAAAGTATATTTCTTTGATTCCCAAAATACAAAAGATGTCCATTTTTACTGCAACCTAAACCTATTTTTTTAAAACTTAAATGAAACTGAATCCTTTTTATTATTTAACCCGCTTCAGACCTATGACTTTTATCAGTCAATATTTTTCTTTATTTGTGGAAAACACACCTTTTCGATTTTTTCACATCAAGCAATTATTATTGAACTATAAAACTGGAAATAAATAAAGCATATATTAATTATACGAATGAAAATAATGAAGGGACGAAACTGGTTGTAATTATCAAAAAAGCTTAAAAATGACCAAAACCGAGCGTATCATTAAAATACCAAACTATTAACTGTAGATGATATATACTGACCAGTATAGAGTGCTATAAACGTCACTGTAGTGATATGTTTTGTGCGTACAACGGCCAGTACCTCGTAAAAGAAGAAAGCTTATATTATTATTCGAAGAATACTAAAATTTGGAAAAACTAATTAGAAGACGTGCGTTTTTTAAAAGATGGAGAAATGAGAACTATAATTCTTGAAACAGGTATTAAAGCTAGTCATTTTATACATCAGTATGGATGTATCAGACTGGCACCGATCAGGAATAAGTCAAAACCAGTAAAATCAGTAGGTCACTATACTGACACTAGCCTGTTACTGACTTAAACTGACAGTATGCTGACACTGATGCATATCTAATTAAACGTAAAGCCTAAGCTACTAGGTTTGCCAGACAAGTGGTCTTCTATTATAGATGATTATTATGTTAAACATCAGGAGACATTTCTTTTGTTGTTTAAGATTTCATTAGTCATCCAATGTATGGTGATGAACGAACTGTTCCACTGCTTCTTCGGGACGTAAGAGCAAAATTTCCATGAAGATCAGACATTATTTTCTTATAAAATAACAATGAATGCCTTTTTGACAGTTTCTTTATTAACAAAACTATCTGTCCAAAAATGTTTCCCACATCGTAGTCAAAAACAATTGAAAACACTTAATGCAATTTGACGGCCTGGTTTCGAACACGACAGATGCCAGCGTGGTGTCCGTTGTTCCGTGGGAATCCTAGAATTGAGCAGAATTCAAAGTATCTCTACTCACTCGCATACCAATGCCAATCTGCCAATTCGTAGACAGAATCTACGTGTGAGCTAATGTAACTCTACATAATTATACATAACTCTGTACAGACTCTCTCTGTGAATTGGCAGATTCTGGTAAAATCAGAATTCGAGTTCTATCAGAAGTCAGTCAGATTCTGGACAGAACCTTATTAACAGCATGTATTTGAAAGCGTCTAATTCTGCCAGTTCTGGCAATTCTCATGGAATTGTAGACATGAACACTGTTGCGTGTGTGCGAAAACTAGCTCGACAATTGGATTAATAAAGTATCATAAATGGTTATTGCGGAAAATACACTTGAAACAATATATAAAGCCTGTATTTTAACCACGTTTGGCTATGTACTGTGATGTTTTCTATAACAACTAATAGTAATATCAGAAAATTGAGGTCGGTTCAATACCAGGCAGCACTAGTAGTTTTAGCTGAGTCATCTAGCGAGCGCATTTTGAGCACGTTAGGTTGGATTGACCTGCAAAGACATTTTCGCATTAAATGCATTGTAACTTTTTCAAAGGTCATCTGTAGGCTAGCCCCGGGCTATTTGTACGAGCATGTCCACTTATATCCTCAAAATACTTATCATTACTTGAGAAGTAACACACGATGACGTACTGAAACTGTTAAAAATGGTAATTGTTTACGATTGCAACGAATGAACGGAATGAGGTAATAGACGAGTTCCCTGAGTATCAAATAGTGTAAACGTTGAACTTGAGAGAAATGTTGTACAATTCTTTGGTCAGTAAACGCACAATCATTCCATTTCAGAAAGCAATTAACGTTCTCAAACCGCACAGCTGAAATAAGATTTATGAGAATAAAATAAAATTCTCCTCAGTTTAATTATTATCTTTACAAACGGAATTGTGTTCCGTCTCCATTGTGTTCATGTGAGTTATCGGAAACAGATACTCATTTTTTCTTATCCTATCACCTGTATAAACGGCATCGTACACGGCTTCTTCTAAAACTAAAATTTCTGAAAAAACACATTTCGGTTAATATTTTATTAATGGATGAATTGAATCAGAGGTGCAACCGATACCGACACGATTTTTCGAAAAACATTGTGTAAATTCATTTCATCTCTGACATATTTGTTTTACTAAAACTTCATTCCAATTACCTAAACTTAGTCTGATTATATAAACTTCTTAATTTAAAAAATTGTATTGGATTGCTATTTTCGTTAAAAAAGAGCGTTTGAAAAATCAGCTATACATAATCAAAGTGAAAAGATTAATTAATCTATCCCTTTGATAACATACGTCATTGATCAAAAGAAGAGTAATTGGTTTTTTTCACTGAATATTAACAGACTTCTTCACAACTATGACAAGAAATTTAGGCAAAACATGATCACGACTAGGAATGTTCGGTTCTGGAGCCGCAATGACGGTTCCAGTTCTCGAGTTAAAACCGAAACAAAAAGAACCGCGGTTCTGGTTTCCGACTTAGAAGAGAACCGCTGTTCTCGGTTCTCAGCTTAGAAGCGAAGAAGAATTTTTCAGGCAGTAACAATTTCAACCAAATAAATTCATTGTATTGTAAACCAAAGGATTCTTTTAAATAATGGCAGGCAAATATATCTTTTTGCAGCTTTATCAAGAGTGTGTTTTCATTTTGTTAAAAGAAAGGCAAGACGGAAAGATAAGGCAGAAGAGAAAAGAATGAATTATTGTTTTCTTTTGCACCTCATACAGAAATACAAAGTTGATCGTCCGTTCACACTCGTTTTTTTGCGTTCAATGCTGTACTTTTCTATCGTTTGATCTTAACAGTTTCAAGACCAGAAGTTACGGCCAGTATAAAGACATAATAATACTGGCTATATCTCTTATCTGATAAGAGTCGATGGGTTCGCCAGGTATAGAAGATCTCATGTAAACGAAGTTGCGCACAAGTATGCGTTATGAACGCTAAATATAGCTTTCTCAAAATAAAACTGTAGTAAGTTATCTATGGTTAAAAAAGTCTCGGTCCCTAAAAAAAGGAACCGTCTACAGAACCGCGGTTCTGGTTCGATTCACAGAACCGAGAACCGCGGTTTCGGTTTCCGATGAGGAATCGAAGACAAGAGAACTGTGGTTCGGGTTTCTAACGAGAACCGAGAACAGACCATCCCTAATTGCGACAAGCCAGTACCGACCGGTAAACCGGTCATCGGTATACCGCCCGGTAATGGTACGAAGTTTGTATACCGATGACCGGTACTGGTATCGCATTTTTGATACCGATTACACCTCTGAGTTGAATCCCGATCCATTTACGTGGATAGTTATGTTCGATAATGTAAGTCTCTTTACCGAAAAAACTAAGCGATTCGAATGAAGGCCAGTATCGTTCTATTCTCCGTGTTTTGACCTATAACATTGTGCAGCTATACACTCTCTTTTCCTAATTCTTTACATATTTTAAGTTATTTTTAGTTATATTGTGGATATAATTAACATGCCATAGCCCCTAGTTATCTTTCATATTTTTCTTTATCTATATTAATCTTTGCTTTTCTGTCATTCTGTATATTGTTTGCACTCTATCCAGTTGTATATTTGTTGGTTTCTTTGAGACTTTTTCAACGCAAATCTTAAATACGAACAAGAATTTAGAAGAGGACGTTTTGAATTTTTCGCAGAACGCAAATAAATTGGGATAGAAAAGAGAGCGCATTTTAAATTAAAAATATTAATTTTGACTATTTTCTCAATTACTAAACATATCACTATACTGTAAAAAATCACGTATTCAAAGAAAAAATAACAACTGTTCTTACAAAAATGTTTATTTCATTAATGCTAAACATGCCTTTTTAGGTCTAGCACCTTTTTTGCTGAAATTTTCTAATTTTGATGGATCGCGAGCAAAATAATAGCCTAAATGAATCATCATGCCAAGAGCATGTTTGCATACGTATGATTCAAATTTGTTTTACATGACCACATCATTGGTATTGTAACTAATCACCCAGAACATAACCATAATGAAAACTAAAGAAGAGAAAAGAAAAGAAGTGGCTTCTGACTAGAATCAAACCAGCACTATATGCATATCATGACATACAGTGTACCACTACACCACAGAAACCTTATAGTGGTATGTTTAGTAATTGAGAAAATAGTAAAAATTAAATATTTTTAATTCAAAATGCGTACCCTTTTCTATCTTTGAGTTCTGCAAAAAATTCAAAACGTTCTCTTTTCAGTCTAATTGCGTTCTCTTTTAAATATTTTCCACTTAAATACGATAGAAGACTGGACACATCCTGTGTATTTTTTTCTTTAACTTTAACAGTTGTACTTGATCGTTAAAACCTAAAAACCACTTTAACTTACATTTTGATATAAACCCTAACATAACGGACTTCAAAATCCTAATTTGATTTTTGCCATTACAGATCCTGTTAATAACTGAAACTGATTAATTACTTTTCTCCCTTACTGAATGGGCTCAACCGCACCCTTCACCCTCTACTTCCAGCCAACCGAAAGTAGGAAAAAACTTAGAAAATTTTTAAAAAATGTTGGCTTTATATATATGTTCTCTCGCCTAAATTCCGCTTTTTCGAATAGTTTTCATGTTCCAGAACACTGCCAGAGCCAACAGTGCACATCGTTGCCAGGTATATGCAAC